GGTAGGCTTGCACTAAAATTTTACTCTCATCTACATGTACAGGATGACAGAAATTAAGAACCCACACACACACACACACCCACACACACAAACACACAAACACTCAAAAATGGTTCATTGAAATAATTAAAAGTTTAATTACTGTACTTTGGATGAATGGCAGTCATTACTGCATGCCAAAGGGATTTTCTAGCCCTGCCTGTAAATATTCTGATCCAAAAAATAATGATCCTAATTAAATAAATGTCCTCTCAACATGCACCAAAAAAGAATATATGTGAAACTTCTATTATAAACATAAATACAAATTACTCAATAGTTAATCAAATAACAATGAAACCATATCAATACATTATATTGATAACCATAATTTTTTAGTATTTGAAATACATATATCAAACCCCAACCTGTAAAACGCACATATCCTTTAATTTCGAATTCCATTCGAAGATACATTATCATGGTCATAATGAAAGTATGTCAGTTAATTTTTCTTCTTCTTCTTTTACTTGCATAATTCAATTGAAGACCTCTAGGTCTTAGGTGGTTTCAGGTTTGTGCAACAAGTAACTTCTGTTAGTATTCCATATGAATACTCACAGTGATATGCGTGAACTTATTTACCAAATTATGTAAATATGATTTGTTAAGTCCATTGATGAATAAAACTGGTGTTGGACAATGGTAATTTTACACTGTGCATGTACTTGATGTCTTAGTTCTATGTTGTTGCTCTGTTAACCATGTGCAGAACTTGAATGATTTTTTTCTTGGTTATGCAGGAGTGAATTTCTGCTGCACAGCAACCAAAAGATGAAGCAGCATCCAGCATACAGCAACTTCAAGTCAGAAAATGCAAGACAAATACACTGAATTATGCAGGCGATAACCAATGGCATGTCCTACACTAAGAAAGATACTTCCCAATAAATGAAGTGTAATGTTATTCTGAAGGAAGAAATTAAAAGTGTGTTACACCTCGTCAGCAATATAATTGTTATAACACTGCAGACTGTGATTGACTGCATTGGATAGATTAATTGTGATGAACGATAGTGGTTTTTTAATAATATTTCTGGTTGTGAGGCTCAAACGATCCATGTAAAAAAAATTGCTTGGAGTCCAAAACATTACTACGTTCAACGTATTACTCAATGAACACTGATGAACACAATTTAGTAAAACAACATTGACTTGATACAGAGATAAAAATAATTGTACCTATTTTTCATATATTTTTATTTCAAATATTCTGCCAATAAAGCCAAGTTAAACAAATGAGGTGAGTGACATTTCACATTTTCCAGTATCCATATGGACCAATCTGTTTTAAGATTTCTGGTCAAGAATAATGTGTATTGGCTATTGTCCAATGAATCAGTGTATTTGCATGCTGAACCCTAATACAGCCGATGCAAAAGGAAGACATGTTGCTATTTCACCAAGGAATTAATTTCATAAAGCAACAACAGTTTTCTGCTAATCCATTGGTTATGTTTAATTTTCATTGGTGAGCATCTATTGTATTTTCCAGGAAGATTTTGACCCATAAACTGAAAAACTATTATCATACATTCAATGTGCTTTGTTATGATATTATATTTAATATCAATTCAGTATCATGGCTGATACCATAAATATAAAAAAAACTTTCTTTTGTATGGCATTATCCACACTTAAAAACAATAAATAAGCTTTAGATTTATTCAGTAATTTTATTACCAGGTCATGATTATTCTCAAAATATTAAACATTCTTGGCAAATATTCCCAAAGCCAAGCCTGAACAAATAACTGTGCCACGGTGAATTGGAATATTTTCAACAGCCTGCACTGTCACTTGTGTCAGTATCTAGATTCACACTGGACTTTATATGAGAGTCCCAAGATGTTCTGCAACACCATGTTGATGACAAGTAGGTCCTATTCCAGCAAGTGTCCAGTGTACATGGTGTATTCTGATGGTCACGTAAATCATTTACAGAACCAGTACTTCAGATAAGACTTTAATATGTTCACAACTGTATACACAACAAAAGTTGTTCTCTCATAGGCAATGTAACATTATCATCATGATATTGGCACATAATTTTTTTTATTAACACCAGAGTCCACATCTATTTTATGGTCTCTGTTAACACAGGCACCCCTATAATTCTCTTTGGACAACATTATTACTCAGATATATTACAAGTATTGACAAAAAAAATCAAAACAATTTACATTGCCAACATACACATAATAGCCATTCTTATGACTATAGTTTGTGTCTTTCTCCCATGGACCCATAAATATACATTCTGTGACGTTCCTTGTCAGAGCTGAACATTTAATATTGGAAAAAAGGCTCTGGATAGATATAATGGAAATTTGCAATAACATTGTATGACGCATAAACTGGGAGCATATTGCAATTGCAAATACCGTCTTTTTTTTTGACAATAAATAAATAACAAATTCAACGAGTCACAGTACGACTGTTCATGCTCATATTTCAACGCCATCATCACTGTAGTGTGATGATTTAACCGATCAGTATTGACTTATCAACACTGACAATTATACCTAGCCTATCAGAAGTGAGTGAAAACTTACCTCAATATTCATGAATGATGGGTAGTGGCCAGTTTGACATCGATCATAGGACTTCTTGACAACACTGCAACTGCTTTGACAAGCCAACACTTGTTATTCATGCCACATAACTCGAGTTTTTAATGCCTGTGACAATGTCCAGAGCTCCAGATAAGCTTTTGGTGTTGTGGGTATTTTACCCATGCATTTTAAAATCATTGGGTATCAGTAATTCTATCTGGGTATTCAAATTTCTGTTACCCACTAGTTTTTACACATGTGGGTATTTAAGTTAAATATTTAAAATCACTATTCATCTAGTCACTGCAAACTTGTGTTGTGTGGGTTCGAGAGCTTTATAGGACTCAAAAATACCGCGATACTTCCACAAGAAAGTGTGATGGCAAATGATCATGATGTAACTGTCATCGTGGAGTTTGGCAAGGTTGACGGAATGTCCGTATATAATTTCAAAATAAGTTACTGAATTGCTAATCAAATATGCAGGGTTACTTCACAATATTTTGATGATATGCACAAGTTTTATTTTTGTATCGTATCTATAATGTTCGTTGCGTATTTGATACGCTTGAATTTTATTTCACTGCGTATTTCTGCATTTCTGATGCATATTTTACGCAGATACACAGCTTATCTGGAGCTCTGAATGTCATGTTTTTCTAAGCTACACCAGAGTGTTCCGAATATGATTAGCCGGGCCCTGTCCGACGTAACACTGCTGTCGCCACTGCCGCGAGACGTTGTTTGTCACCAGAAGTACTAAACAATGTAAGGTCTCGCACAGTCCCGTGACCTACTTACATCCCCTATTTTGTGCATGCTACAGGGGCACTGTCATTTTTAATATTTTTTGCAGGTGGCATCGTGTTGATAACCGCCATGTTTGCAGTTGTGAAGGCTATAGAATGTCCTTGAATTAGTTTATACGGCACTTCCTTTCTTGAGGGATTACCTGTTAGTCATACTGTCAAGTTCATGTCATTAAATAAACTTGTTAACCCTAAAGGCTCTTTTGTATCATGTTTTTAGTTGGTACCTATGGCTACAACTGGTAACCTGTAACAACAAAGGTTTAAATACAAATTCTGCAAACTTATGTTTCTAGTTTTCATGATTGTTGTTTTCCATGAGTCGTGTCTATTGAAACTTACATATTGTAGTCTAATATTGTTCCTTTTATCGGATATTTTAGTTTCAGTTCTTCAAAAGGACATCAATCCGTTCTCATTGCATACATCTTTAATTGAGAAGATTCCATTATTAGCCCATTGCTTTATGTAGTATGTTGCTTGTTTGAAGTTGTGATTAGGCCAAAATGGTTGGGACAAAATTTCTTCTATATTATCAATATTATTTTTTTTACAAAATTTGTTCAAAGCTTTCAATACATGTTTCCAGTAGGGGTTTTTAACATAAGATTTCATGTCAACATTAGCACTCAAGGGTTACTATATGATTGTTTTTTTACATTATAATCTGAGCGTAGATAGTTTTATTGCGTCAATAAAGGCTCTAATGTTTTTCATGCGTAATCCACCTTCCTCATATTTTCTTGTCAAAGTGGTCCTTTTGATTTTGTCTTTTTTATTGTTCCAGTTAAAATTGTAAAATATTTTGTCAAGTGATAAGACAGTCCTAAGGAGGGTTTGGTAGTGTCTAATATATGTGAACTAGGTTTGACAAAGCGAAAGTATTTTTTCATATTAACGTTAGATTTCTTTTTCTCCAATTTGCAAGCAATCTGTTTATTTCTTCAAGCTTTCTTTTAGTATTGATTTATACCCAGAGTTCACTTAAGTTTGGATTAAACATAATACCTAATACTTCAAATTCCTTATTGTGCCATTCTATTTGTAAGTCTTGACATAATTGATCATTGCTACTCGCTTTTGAGCCTATCCATATTGCTTTTGTCTTATCTACATTAATTATGAAGGCAGACCAGTTTAGTGTTGATACTTGTCATAAGATGTGACATAATGGAATGGGTTGTCTGGCACCGTGACTTTATTGATAGTGTGTCATCATGCATTGTGGACCATGATCAATCATATCATCAATCACACCATGATCAATCATATCATCAATCACTGGTTTGTCTGGTACAGCTTCAATTATTTTACAGGCTGCAGTCATATACATGGAATACTGTTGAGTGCAGCGTTAAATAACAAAAAACAGAATCTGGTTGTTATATATTGTGCTTATATGATACACAGATCAACTGACACACCCAATATTCAATACTGGTGCAGAAAAAATATAGAGATACTTTATCCCATCAATTTAGCTAAAACATAAATTATTTGCCACTAAAATGAGAAGTCATACAGAAGTGTATTTTTTACCTCAAATCTTAACACTCCCATATTAGCATCACTAACACTTTAACGTGTTGTTTTTCAGATGACATCAACCAATTTCTCTGATGTTGTTCACCTGCGCACCTTGCTGGAGAACCTGTGTAACACATTCCAGGAGTTCCGTGCTCATGAGCACATCGAGAACAAATACATCATGCGGAAACTAAAGGTGAAGCTGAGATCCCTATCCATCACCAACAAAGCAGTATGCAACTGCCATTCTGATAACCAGTTGTCAGAGATGCTGAGATTGGTGTATGCAGGCTACACTTGGACAAGCAAGACTGCCAGTGAAAGGCTCAACTATGGCCTGCAACTGCGGAAGGCCTTGGAAGACTTCACTCAGCAGTTTCTGCCCCATATGGAAGAGGAGGAGGAGGTAAGTTAATGAGTTTACTGCATGAACTCAATCAGTTAAATCATCCATGTGGACGACAGTGGTCGAAACTGAGTATGGAAGTCACTTTGGTGAAACTCACAAACCTGCCTTGGCGTTGAACCTGAAATTTATCTTTTTAGGATTTGAACCAATAATCATTCAGATTCTTCAACAATTTTTACAGGACATAACTTTGCTCAGTGTGTTATTGTGCCCTTGCCACCTGTGATTGTTGAGGGGGAGGGGTACATAAAAAATTAAATATTTAGTCAGCAAAAACATAATTATGATATTAATTTTGTATAACTGGTTCAATCAACTTATCATTGAATACCCATGTAAGTTTATAACTGAGGAAATCTAATACCTGATGTTGCAAATATATAGAATACTAAACGAGCTCCCGTGTAATACCAATTTTACGAAACGAGTGAATAGCTCTGGTATCTGACGAGTGAAAGCGAGTCAGATACCACAACTATTCACGAGTTTCATAAAATTGGTTTTACACGGGAGCGAGTTTAGTATTTTATTTATTACTGGCCATTTATAACGTTTTTAGAATTATACTGTTGAGTGTGAATAGGCTGACACGTACACGATCCACGGCATAATCCAATTGAGTTTAACACAGTAATACTTCAAACACGTCCAAAGTTGAAACGTATGAATTTAATACCATACAACGGTCCATCTTAGAATTCAGGCGTCCATTCCACAAAATTATCGTCGCGTTAAGGTTATCGCAACTCACATACTTTAACTTAGACCAAGGACTGTCGTTGCGCTACCGTACGATCGCCTTGTGGAATGGGGCCTTGCACCTCAAAGTTTACAATCACGTCACAATACCCGATGACGTAATTTGTGGAATTTTGTTGCAAGATCCTTCGGCGAAACAATGCCATGTGACGTCAGCCTAGCAACAAGGTTGCTGGGGTCATCGAGTGTGCATAAGCTCCTCTCAGTGATCTATTATCTCCACACGCAATGTCGTTGAATTAGCCTAGGGATGTTGAGAGCTTTCAATATTTGTTCGCGAAACGTGTTCCGAGAGTACATAAGCACGCGTTTTGGTATTACACAATGTGTAATACAGCTGTATGTTTATTAAACGGGTGATCTCTTCACGGGCAAGTAATAAAATGATTTTATCAAACGAAAAAACTGCATATTTTATCAGCCTTTATCATTGGTGCTGTTAGTCCTTGATGCATCACAATGACATGTTTAGGGCTCTGTAAAATCTCAACAGGTAACACTGTTTCCTAATTTGTTTGGCAAACCATGTATGGTGGAACTATCCAGATCTTATCACCTGAAAATAGAATAGTATCTTATATGTATCCCTATTCGGCATAAAGGACATAAGCAAATGTACATAAGTTAAGCAAGATTCATTTGCAGCAACAGATGGGTACGTTAATTTTGTACATGGACATTTTTTAATACAAGAGCATCTCTCACAAACTTTGTATAACTCATTAAAAGATTCTTCTTATTACCTTGATTACAAGGTAACATATTTTATAACCATAGGGTTAGAAATAACCATGTTCATAAAAATCATGTGCACTTGACCAAATATCACTTCCAGTGTATTGTTTACATCATCTGGACGGCATTGTTGACATTCAAATCTTATTGTGACGTAGGGTTAGAATGACTTCACACTAGAAACAATGTCTTAGCTGAAGATTGTTGACGTCATTCGACAGTTATGGTTTTCTAGGACGGCGGCCATGGTCAGTGCATTTTTCTAAAGGTGAGCTCAAAAAGATTAAGAAATAATAGGTAATAAAGAAATTATTACACTCGCATGTGTGTCATACTGATTTTTTTCTTGTGTAAGAAATCATGTTTTACTCTCTCTCACTCAGGAAATACTACAATTCTCAAACATGTTTGTAATCTCCTGCATGATCAGTCAGTTAAGGGCATATGCATAAAGCCATACTTGACTGTTTACAATACATGAAATAGCTATATATAGAATACTTATACTCATAGAAGAAAATACAGTGTATTAAAGGAATAGCGCTGAGGAAATGGATGATGCAACTTGTTTGTCAGATGTAAATCAGGGAGGAATTCAAAAATTCAAAAAGCATTTGTGTTCATGAGTACTGTAGTGTAAGGAGACTTCTGCGCATAAAGGCCCCTTACTGTTTTTTGTGTGCACCATTTTTCAAATTACCAGGTATGCATGAATTGCATAAATTCCCAATCACTGCATTTAATGCTAAATTATTTGAAAACATTGAGTTTTCTTAATCTTTGTTTACCAATAACAGTGCAATCAAACAGGCAAAGGTCATCTGCATACATATATAACAATGTATCTAAGAAAGCAATGCCTTCAGAGATACCTCTGACATTACATTCATCATGTTCATGTGAGTGAGTGAGGTTTTACACCACTTTCAGCAATATTCCAGCAATATCTCAGCGGGGGACACCAGAAATGGGCTTCACACATTGTACCTATGTCGGGAATTGAATCTGAGTCTTCTGTGTGAGGAGCAAACACTTTAACCATTAGGCTACCCGACTGCCCCTCATGTTCATGTAACATACCTTCCAACTCAATGACAAAGTGAGAGAATAATAAAGGACTAATATCACATTCCTGTGTTACACAACTAAGAGTGACAAATTAATGAGAAATAGGATTATTGGAGTTTTACAGCAAATTTTGCCCGAGAATGCATGTAAGAAAAAAACATGAATGTGCTTCTTTAATATGGTATATTAAAACAATTTTCTTCAACAGTCAAATGCTTTTCGGAAATCAACAAATAAACAGTAGAATCTTCCATTAGTCTGAGACAGATACTTTTGTACCAACACTGTAATACAATATATTATCAATAGTACTGTAACCAGCTCTAAATCCTACCTGGGATTCTGGAATTTTATCATATACATCGCAAACACTAGGTAATTTTGTATACAATCTATAAGTAAATATTTTACTCATAATATTGCTAAGGATAATACCTTTCAACCATTCCACAGGAAAAGTTCCACTATTCAGCATTAAATTAAATAAAACATTGAGAAATGATAACATTTCAAGATTACAACTATTAATCAGTCCCACCATATTTTTAGTGCTAAAATTAAACTGATGACTAACTAAGGATTTGTGTTTGCAGGTGTTTCAGCCAATGCTGATCAAGTACTTCACATATGAGGAGCTGAAGGAGATAAAAGCCAATGTAATCAAGCAGCACCTGGCACAACACCGTTCACCGGACAGCCACACTGAGAAGTGTGTGGAGGACGCCCTGTCCAGTGAGTTCTGCTATCGCCAATTGCCTGTTCTGGTCCCATATGTCCCTTTTCACCTGTAACTTAGGTCAAACACTGTATGCATAAAATCCACATTAGGACCATCATCTTCCCAATCATCTCGGCTTGAACATCATGTCACTCATGTTTTATACAGTGTTACAGAATGGGAAATATGGTGAGATGTGTAGCATGGATAGTATGCTTCTCAGCCTGTTTGAACTTCAAGTGAATGATGGCGAATATTTATTATGCACCCATATCACATGCACATAAATATTTTAGTATCAGACAGCCAGTTTGTTAAATGTTTCTGACCAGAGTGTACAGAATGTACTTTTACCCCACTATTATATACAGTTATTGGCGAAAAACTGTTGACATTTAATTCGCAACTAAAGGGGTTTTGTCAAGTATTGGATAATTTTAGATCCCTTGTCATGCCAATTTAGCATGGCAAGGAGGCAAAACATTGTCATTCTGTTCATGATGCTGACTGACCGAAAATTAAAATTAAAACCATAAGATATGGCAAGACAACTATGATTGTTAATACTTATTATAATTTCTCAGTCAATCAATATATGTACTTTCCCATATCTGATCATGTTTTAACATTCTATGAATTGCTACACATATATATACCTCGTGTACCAATGTTACATTTATGTCTACTGAATTGAAATAAAAATATTTAAAAAAAGAAAAAGAACTATGATTGTTAAGGCCACACTTTTTAAATTTTTATGTTTCACAGATTTATTCCAGCTTTTCCACAGAAGATTGATCGAAATAAAAATAAAAATAAATAGCTATGTCAATCATTTATTCTGCCCTGGACTAAAAACTGCAGCTGGCTTATTGAATCATTGATTGTGATGTAGACATGGAACTTATATACAACATTTTATTTTGTATAAGATGGTCAATGTTACTAGCAGGAGACATAATAAAAATAAATCTTTTTATGTTTTATGTATTTCTTTTCCAGCTGCTTTTCAGCAGGGGCAGCGGGCCCGTGAATCGAAAAATGAAAAATTTGGCACAAGTTCTGTTTATAGGCAAAGATTTTGTGATCAACATGTAAACATTGAATGGACAAGCTCAAAGTAGAGCTTGTTTGCATCATACCTGTGCCACGATTTCTTGTCTGCCAGTTTACGTACATGCTCGCCCACTTCAACATGTAATTGTTGCTAATTTCATATTAAATGACTAAGCATGCTAAAAGTCACGTGTGATTGAATAAACCACCTGACCATGTAAATAAATTACCCCAACCATTTCTTATTTTATCGCAAATGGACATTTTCTGAAATGTGGCCCTGACATCTAAACATGAGTGGTCTGTTGCACACAGCATGATGAAAAACGAGGTACAAAAATACAACTACTGAACAGAACCACTGAAACATCAACTTAACAACTAAAATAATCACAACTCTACCTCTGAGTAGACAAACAACTTATGGATACAATGTGCTGTAAATTTTTATTCTGATGGCGCTATGGTTGGTCTGCTGAAATAGTCTTTTACGTGTGTCTAACATACTATGATCATACTAATCTAATTTATTTATTTTCTATGTGTGTGTGTGTGTGTGTGTGTGTGTGTGTGTGTGTGTGTGTGTGTGTGTGTGTTTTGTTGGCTGTTTTATCTAATACACATTATAAATTTCCTCGGAAAATGAATACCATAACAAGGTAGGGTGTGTTCCATATTCTGCAATCCCTATTAACATTAGATTATTGATTATCATTGATGTAGAGTGTACTCTCTAATATCGTATAATAATATTTCGCAAGTCTTAAACTTTTATTTGATATGTTACCTGTTGTGTCAGCAATGATTATATGGTGCCACAATTCGCTGTGCAGAGTTGCATCCTTTGGAACTTATGATCATGGGTTTGATTCTTGGTTCACCCTAATTATGTTTTGAGGTTTTTCAGCACAATACCTGTGCTCGTGAGTTTAACGAAAAATGATAAACGTCTGAGACCTGCATGAGTTCGGGCTTTCCTCCCACATTATCATGATTAAGCTGATGTACCCTGATATAGGTGGAATACTGTTCAAAGTGGTGTTAAACCAAACTCACACACTTACTCAGATGTTGACCTCCAAAATTCATTCAGATGTCCTCTTCAAGTTGTCTGTTACTTCCAGTGGCTGAAAAGTTCTGAGCCTAACTAGAAGGATGCATAGTACAGTTCCATGTATTTAGCGCAGTAATTTCCACGCAACAGGCAGTATTGGAAGTTTGTTGCAGGGAGTGTCATGTTTTGAGGGTGAAGGACCCATTTGTAGCAATCCTGGGCTGCTGTTGTGATGCAGGGTCTCACTCATCCTGGCCAATCTCTGGTGGTGCCATATTGCAAATATATCATGCTCTGGGCAAATTTGTAATGCCTTTACCAGCAATACCTATACCTGTGATTTATCATCTTCAAGGCAACAACTAATCTCATTATTTGTTGAGTGTTGGCAAGACAATTATCACCTGTGACAAATTTCATGACTTGCACATGAAAACATATTTTCAGTCACAAGAAAACGAAGCGTGCAAATATCAGTGGTCATAAATATTATGTCTATCAAAAGTCAACAAAACGGTTTGGTAACACTTTATCAGTAACAATGAATCCTAATAGAGTGGATATACAATACACAGGACACTGGAGGATAATCAGATGTCAGCAGCATGTCAGACAAAGGTCCAAGTCCCTATAAGGGACTTTTGTAAAAGTGTTTATGTTGTGCTGTCAGCACATAGCATGGGTTTCCATTAGTCATTGACCCATCTGCCCTTGAATTTTCAGATAAGATACTTCTCCAGAACATCTGGACATATAATATTTGCTCAATATTTTCTTTTTGTCCACTTTTATGAAACAGTTAGGATTTCATTTTTTCCACGTATGCTTCTCTGAGGCTCAAGTGGTAAGGTTTCCAATATAAATAAAAGGTGAGTTCTGCCTCTGGTTCACTAGTCCATAAAGCAGTAAAAGTTGGTTCGAGTTATTACAAGTAGTGTTATAAAAATTTACTCACAGAATCCTGTAAGTACTGGCTTTATGTTATCCAGGGTGATTAGCAGAGTGTTTTAGCATTTGCTCATCATACTAAAGATGTAGTTGAAGTCAACAACCTTGTAACATCCTGAGAAGCCTGAGTACCTCCTTCTGTGATACAACTGTAATGTAACTCATGTCGCTAATGTCAGTTATGTTTGTAATTGCAAATAAAACTATCCATACTATTGCGCATTCAGATATCCTAGATTCTCTGGATTGGACCTTGGCTGGGAACAACATGTTTTGTATGTACTAGTGATACTTTTTGCATTGAAGGTGAGTCATCAGATGAAGAGACAGAGGTGTGTGTACCACTGGTCAGTGTTCAGAGTCTTCCTGATGAGATCCTGCTGTGTGTACTGTCTCTCCTGTCTCCACAAGACCTGGCCAGATGTGCCCAGGTGTGTCAACACTGGAACAAGATGGCCTTGGATTCCTCACTGTGGTCTCACTTCTACCCAGTGCAGTGGGCTCAAGGTCAGTAACACATGTATAATATGCAAGACCGCCTCTTGATCTAGTGGTAGAGGGTCCGCCCAGACAGTCGAAGGTCCGGGGTCGCTATATAAGTGCAATATTCTTAGACGCAAATTCACCTCACTTATCCCATGCAAGACCGCCTCCGTGATCTAGTGGTAGAGGGTCTGCCCAGAGAGTTGAAGATCCGGGGTAACTATATAAGTGCAATAATCTTAGATGCGATGTCACCTCACTTATCCCATGCAAGAACACCTCCGTGATCTAGTGGTAGAGTGTCCGCCCAGAGAGTCGAAGGTCCGGGGTTGTTATATCAGTGCAATAATCTTAGACGCAACATCACCTCACTTATCCCATGCAAGACCGCCTCCGTGATCTAGTGGTAGAGTGTTCGCCCAGAGAGTCGAAGGTCCGGGGTTGCTATATAAGTGCAATAATCTTAGATGCGATGTCACCTCACTTATCCCATGCAAGACCGCCTCCGTGATCTAGTGGTAGAGTGTTCGCCCAGAGAGTCGAAGGTCCAGGGTAACTATATAAGTGCAATAATCTTAGATGCGACATCACCTCACTTATCCCATGCAAGAACACCTCCGTGATCTAGTGGTAGAGGGTCCGCCCAGAGAGTTGAAGGTCCGGGGTAACTATATAAGTGCAATAATCTTAGATGCGATGTCACCTCACTTATCCCATGCAAGAACACCTCCGTGATCTAGTGGTAGAGGGTCCGCCCAGAGAGTTGAAGATCCGGGGTAACTATATAAGTGCAATAATCTTAGATGCGATGTCACCTCACTTATCCCATGCAAGAACACCTCCGTGATCTAGTGGTAGAGTGTCCGCCCAGAGAGTTGAAGGTCCGGGGTAACTATATAAGTGCAATAATCTTAGATGCGATGTCACCTCACTTATCCCATGCAAGACCGCCTCCGTGATCTAGTGGTAGAGTGTCCGCCCAGAGAGTTGAAGGTCCGGGGTAACTATATAAGTGCAATAATCTTAGATGCGATGTCACCTCACTTATCCCATGCAAGACCGCCTCCGTGATCTAGTGGTAGAGGGTCCGCCCAGAGAGTTGAAGGTCTGGGGTAACTATATAAGTGCAATAATCTTAGATGCGATGTCACCTCACTTATCATATGCAAGACCGCCTCCGTGATCTAGTGGTAGAGGGTCCGCCCAGAGAGTTGAAGATCCGGGGTAACTATATAAGTGCAATAATATAGATGCGATGTCACCTCACTTATCATATGCAACCTACTAGGGGTGAAACGATACATCGTTCACCGGTGCATTGTATGTTTTTATACAAAGATCGATACACGATACGTTTTCATCTGTATCGATATTTTTGCTGAAATATATTACTTACTACTTGTTTAATGACCCCTCAGCGATTTTGTCGGTCAATTGGCGCAAAATGTATTGTAAAAAGCGTTCACTACTAAAAATAGCTACAAACATGTCTCCAGCTACTTTTCCTTTAGAACATGCTCCGAAATATTTGTAGTCAAGAAGTTTCCACGCATTTTGACGTAAATATGTATTGTATCCCTACCTATGTGTTGTGATATGTATCATATCGTGACCTTGCTGTACCGTTTCACCCCTACAAACTACACACACAAATTAGCAATCATCAGAGTTTTAAATGAGAGTTTTATTTAAACTATTTCCTTTGTTTACGTGACAAGGCAGCCATTGACCCTGGGTTTACCTGAACCACGCCAAGGCAGTGCAGTTGTAGGACAATGTTGTAGAATATTTAACTTTGTGCAGGCGCAACAGTAATGCACCATCTATATTTTGGGTATGGTTATTAGTATTATATATTATGTAAACATGCCTAACATATTCATTGTTACATTAAGTCAACTAATGTGTGTATTTGATGCTATGTCTGTTGTAGAATGATATACATAAAATGATGTAATAATGGAATTGTTACAGTGGTACAATTGGTATGTCTGAAAGGTACGGGTGTTATGGATTTGGTCTCGGATACTCATGTATGTTTTGTCACTTTTTCTTTTACCAGCAGCATATATTAATCTTTAAGTTTGCTTGACAGTTATATCATTATGCATCATCACCGACCTTAATAATATCACCAACATTTAATTCTATGTCCAGTTTATTTGTCCATTGTTTATACATATAATTATTTTTATATATAATTATTTTTATATATTTATAAATATAAATGCATACATGAATTTAAATTTTGGGAATTCCCTGTATAATTGATGGTGTCAATGGGAAACCCCTAGCTTATTTTCTTCCATCACAGAAGAGCTCACTGTCAAAGCTAAGATTAGTGTCATGTGATAGGTGTGTATATCTCTGTGTATAAGGCGAGTTTTTCGTACCTAAAATGATGGGGTTAAGAAGGGGGGTCGTCTTATACACGGAGTCGAAGATCTCACATTTTTTTCCACTGGCGATGTCAACCGGCGTCCGATAGCCAGCCCAGCATTTGACAATAAAACTTCGCATTTTATCCTAAATAACTGTTCCAATAACTATTTCCATACATAAACATGATTTGCATCTCTTTTCCTTGAATAAAGTTTAATAATTTCTGCAAATAAAGTTGAAATGACCCTCGCCTCGATGCAGATTGTCAAACCAGCTGACACGGTAAAACAATCAACATCCGTGAGTAGAGAGCTGGAAGTACTGGTAAGCATTTGCATATTGCACATGTGACCTAACATGTGATAACCGGTGAAGCTGAAATCAATTCCCGCTGTATTCACAGTTGTATTAACAACTGTTGGAGACAGTGTGAATAAGTGATTGTGGAATAAACACGCTGATTGTGAAGCAAATATAAGCCTAGTTAGTTACAACATAGTTAATTGGCGATTAAATTACTCATCATTGTCTCTTATATGTTATTACTTCATAAATGAATTTTATTTTACGGGCACCAATTTGGTGTCGTACTGTCTAAACACAAAATGGCAACATGTGCTGGAGTTACACACGCAACCAATCATCGTAGAAAAAACAACGCAAGATAAACATATTTTTATTGCATATATAAGGTTTGTGTGCGCACTTGTGATGTGCTTCATTCCAGGTTGCCTTATACACGGAGTATAGGATTTTGGGTTGATTTTGAAGGCGTGTACAGGGGGGTCGTCTTATACGTGGGGTCGCCTTATACACAGCGATATACGGTATGACATGCCTGTCAAGAATAGCTCAAATTGCAGCTGTAATTTTTGTTGTAAGTCACTAAGATTTGTCTTAGCTGAGACCACTTTGTGAATAGGATGCCTGTAACTTTGTACAAATAATCCCAGCTGTGGTGTCTTTAAAATTGCTCACAGAATTCTGATACGATTTTAAACAAGGTGGCCATATTTATAAACCCATTAATGGCTATTAATTAGCCATCTTTTTTTCATAGTGTTTTGAAATTTGGCAAAGATGTAGTTTATGGTTGTGTACTTGCATGAGATTCACACTATAGATCACTATAACCCCCAATTAATTTTTAGATGTTTATATACATCTGAATTCTTTTTTATATAACTGTTAAGTGTCAATTCCAAAATTAAAACAATATGTTAACCCAGAAATCTGTACGTAAAAGAATCTAGTGTGAAACCAACAACCAACCAACAAGCGTTACACAATTAACAAATGTATTACAAAAATAAACAAGGTTTACAAATCAATACAAATTACTGCACAGCAATTACAATGGCAGTACACAATCAAGTGGTAGTATAATATTCAATGGCAATAAATAATATGATGGCATTGGTCAGTATCAAATACAAAAATACCATGATGATAGCAGAGTCAGTGATAATAATATATATTCACCCAGTGGCGACAGTGGTCAATCTTTCGAGATGGGCCAGGCAGGGAATCAGGGATGATGAGCGATCCTCACATGAAAGCTGGCTCCGAAGTGATGAAAAGTGTGAGAGGTCCCTAAACATGCTCTTGTCCCACTATATATGCAGCCCCACAAGCTCCTGGAAATTTTCACATTGTGCCTTCACAACATAGAACATTACAGAAGTTTCGGTAACATACTATCACTCTGCGTGATCAATGGACCAGAAAATTACACACCACACTAGCATCTAAATATAGTAACTTCCTGATGACTGATCCCTGTCCAAACACAATGCAATGAGCGTCTACCGAATCCCAACAGAAACAATGCACCACTGCTACAATCACTCTTAAACATTATTAAAATACACTGCCATATAACATGACCATAATGGTATAACGTCACTGTGCATAATTACCCTTTTCAGCTTGCATACCTGGATATCTTTACAGATCTTTGTGTACAGACCGAATGCTGGTGTCATGTATACCAGAACTCTACTGGAGTGAATAATGGAAAAAGCGCTATGTCTCATTTGTTGTAACGCGTATCACTGTTGTGAGCTTATGCAATGTGTGCCACATCAAGGGCATCTCATGAACAGATGCAAACTAGAAGTCACCTGGAACAGTACTTTAAACAGAATCATGTTTGAAAAAGGTTTCCACACTGGTTTAAAACTAGCCAGTCGTCTGGACCTTAGGGAGTGACAGCAAATTGAATACCGTAGGGAATGAGGATGGGCATTCCAGGAAAATGCCCTGGACTATTTTACTTACCTGAAAAGTGTTATATCACCAAAGATTAAAACACATTCTATGATATGCATCTAATGTTGATTTTTGACTAGTTGACTGATGGAGGATTCATATTATAACTAGAAAATAAATGTTTGCCTCACCAACAGGGTTTACACTTTGTATGAAAGTAATGACCATAAGAAGATCCAAGTTTGTTTAGAAACCATTTCCATTCAACATTGTTTTCCTTAACAGTGATGTAAGGATAATTATTTTCTCTTTGTCCCCAGTCTTTCTTTTACTCACTATAGATATTTGTACCAAAGTAAAGTTGAAGTGTCATAAAAGTATTGCTTCATAAGTCAAGTGAGATACAGAGGCGTATGGCTCCTTTTATGTTTAAATATGCTGTATAGCCTTTAGGAATAAAATACATGTGACGGATAGTAGGGGTGTCACGATAAATTGAAATATCGATATATTGCTATTGGTACTCACTTAAAGTCAATAAATCGATTGTTAAATCAGTTTCCGATCAATAATATCGATTTCAGTTAGGAATATCGATAGTTTCGATTGTATTTAGCATATCAATAAAATACATTCAATGCAGTTCAAATTTGTTTATCCTTTGATCATGATTGGTAGTAATTTACACATTGTAATGTGGAAGTTTCTTTTTCTTAAATTATTAGGGTAAAGAAAAAACAATTCAGTCATCTCAAACTTTACATTTTGTTATGGTTATCACATTCAAAGGAAACTTCAGTTCCAAGGTATAGTTCAACTCTAAAATCTAAAATGATAGTTGCTAGCAATATCAATAGTTATCGCAATAGTTTCTTTCACTATCAATAGTTATCGCAATAGTGATTTCCATACCAATAGTCACCCCTAACGGATAGTGAAGGTAAGATTCACAACAAGGTGAAGGCAATTCACACACATAATACGTTACAATAACTCAAAAAGTTTTTACTGCAGGCAGATGAAACTTCATACATATTGTTTAGATAGGGCATTGACATGGTATAAGGTATGCACATTCTGTTGCACTGGTTCAATCTATTTCAAGATGCATACCTGTGTCAACTGACTTCAGCTATTCTTATTTACACCTTCCTAATTGTTCCAATGATTGTTGAAACTGTGTTTTCTGCTGCAGGTGTTTGGAGTTGCCTCCCCTCAACTGTTGGGGAAGACCGTGAAGGCAGTGTGGCTCACACTCCCCACAGTTTCATCATAGACGAGGATGCTGATGTCGATGAATCAGAAAGTGTTGAAGATGAGGACAATGAAAACAAACATTACAAACAGGTAAGTTACTGTCTGGCCCAGTTACACTGTCTCCACAATGTCTCCACCTTCTTGTCTCTCAGGTATGCTCACGTGTGGTGCACTGTCCTAAACTTTAACATTTTTTACATTTCCTCTGCATCAACAGTCATGTAGGATTTTTGTCAAATCTGAAATTACTTTCAGCAAAGAAATTATTTTGGAACAAAAATAACTTGTCAGTATTTGAAGAAGTAGTATGAATATGTTATGTAAGTGATTAGAATTTGTGATTATTGTTGTCATTCCAGGCATACAAGGAGTGGAAGATGCTGACTGGCATGACTAGTGGTCTGCTGCAGCATGTCGGGGACAGCATCACACACTGTTCACTGGCTCACAGCAAGGGCCTCACCAACAGAATAGTAAGTACAATCACATCATCAACCTAGCCACAGTTGGATATTCTGTAAATACGTAACCTTCTGGATTGGAGTCTTAAAACATAGCTGATATTAGACAGCTCAAGTTCAACAGTAAGCCATAACGGCCAGTTGTAGAAGTGAACCCTTAATTCTACCAATATTCTACCTTCTGTTTAGAAACCTTCATTCCTCCAACAGTATCTAATTAATGTCAGACCATTACTTTATTGTTTGTTGTTTAACGCCGCACTCAGCAATATTTCAGCTTTATGACGGTGGTCTGTAAATAATCGAGGCTGGACCAGATAATCCAGTGATTGACATCATGAGCATTGATCCACGCAATTGGGATATGATTACATGCAGCAACCAAGTCTGTGAACCTGGCCACACGAACCCGTTAGTCGCCTCTTAACTACAAGCATGGGTTGCTGAAGACCAATTCCAACCCCGAATCTTGACGGGTCCATTACTTTGTTGATCTCAGTCAGTTTCAAATATACAATGAAGATGATTTTATTGTCTTTTATTAAGATAATTGAGTGGGGTTTTTTTTTATTGCATGTTAGACTCAGCCTTTGGCAATGCAATGGTCTCTCCCAAGATCATAAAAGGGAACTACATGTGTTCAAGAGGAAGGTTAAGAGGATGTTATTCAAAATTTTAATATGTTTGATCAAATTGTAACTCCGCCACTGCTGCCACAATTGGTTTGCTTAACCACATCCTTATGACAGATGTTTGAGACTTCATACCTGATATGGGGCGGTCGGGTAGCCTAGTGGTTAAAGCATTCGCTCGTCACGCCAAAGACCCGGGTTCGATTCCTGACATGGGTACAATGTGTGAAGCCCATTTCTGGTGTCCCCCGCCGTGATATTGCTAGAATATTGCTAAAAGCGGCGTAAAACCATACTCACTCACTCACTCATACCTGATATGGGGCGGTCGGGTAGCCTAGTGGTTAAAGCGTTCGCTCGTCACGCCAAAGAACCGGGTTCGATTCCTGACATGGGTACAATGTGTGAAGCCCATTTCTGGTGTCCCCCACCGTGATATTGCTGGAATATTGCTAAAAGCGGCGTAAAACCATACTCACTCACTCACTCATACCTGATATAAGGGGTGGTCAGGTAGCCTATTGGTTAAAGCATTCGCTCGTCACGCCGAAGACCCGGGTTCGATTCCTGACATGGGTACAATGTGTGAAGCCCATTTCTGGTGTTCCCCGCCGTGATATTGCTGGAATTTTGCTAAAAGCGGCGTAAAACCTCACTCACTCACTCACTCATACCTGATATACATCCTAGATACCCTATGGGAAAATTTCTGACATTATTGATTAACATTGATGGTCAAGCATGAAAAATGCTTGTTGTACACAAAAATTTGGGTATTTATGCATGAAATTAGATTAAACTATACATGATCTCTAAAGCAGGATCTCAAGCTTTTCAAGTTTTAGGTGACCTGTTTGAAGCCAAGTCACTAGAGCCCATATTTTGAAGCATTGTTCAAATTTTTCGATCAGTTGGATTGATATATGAACAATCAAAGCATTTTTGCAATCAGTTTAGATGAACTCTTAAGTTCTAAGTCACTAACTCAACACCTATCATTTGTCATGATTGTATTATATGTCAAGGTCTCTTTGAAGGTCATTCACTCTCAAAATGACTTGTAAGTTGTTGCATAAAGGAAGTATTGTTAGCATAGTATGGAGACTTTATAGATGTAACCAGGGCTCCAGATAAAAGCTGTATCGGCGTATGTACAGACGAAAATATGCACGATATGGTGGGGGATATTACATTAAGTAATACGTTACCACTGTTATACCGAGGCTGTTGTCTCCCACAACTGCTGCTTTAGCGAAATCTACCACAGAGATCTCAATTACCTCATGCAGCACGTGCGTAGCCACCTAGCTGCCATGTGACACCCTTCACTCTTGTCTCTTCGCTTACTCTAGCAAGACGTACAATAAACTGCTCAAGCGTTCCTGTTTCTCCGACCATTCGGTGATATTTATTATGTTTATTCTCTCTAATAAACTGTGCTTTTACGGGGCGTTTGCTGTAACTACGCTTGGAAATATTTTTCCCGCCAAAAGGAAATATTTTTTTCCCGCCCTTTTTTTCTATATACTTGCGGGGTGTCTCGTATGCACGTTGCGTCTTACGTTCCCCTGTTCTAGTATATCTTGGGGTTTTTACATCACTTATTCCTCTATATGTTATATATGTATGTTCTATATTCCCATTGCTCGTTTATTTTCTTGTGAAAATACTCGTTTGTGACTATTTGTGGTGCGTGTGTTGTAACCATGTTTTGCTCTTTGTTCATAGTACAAACAAAATGTCTGACATGGATGTTTCGCCGTCCTCCACCCCCTCTACCCCCGCAACCAGGAGCTGCGGGGTGTGCCGCAAGCGAGCGGTTCCGGCTGTATGTGCAGTCCGTTTCCACCCCTGTGGTGGCCGGCTCGTCCGGTCGGGGTCCCCTTGCGGGTACCACCACCACGGCTGCGGCGGATCCCTTGGCGGCCCGTGGGCTGTCCGGGGATTCCGTCGCTGCATTACTTGCATACCTTGTGGACTCCAAGCTGGCGGCCTTATCTCAGGATAGGCCGCTGGCTGTTCCGTCGGAGGTCGGACGCGGGGTCCACCGGTACGGCTGCGGCTCCCGTGGTCACCGGTCCTTCCCCCGAACCGTTGCTCCCGCTATCGGTTAAGGACCGCGTGGCCATGGTTTATGTCCTCTTTGAGGACATGCCCCGGCCGGTACCGTGGGGAATCCCTGACTGTGGGTTCCTCCGAGGTATACGATGAGTCTTCCGACACGGCTTTCCCCGCATCAACCTTGCTGCACGGTATCAAGCCTTCCTTGGAGAACGCCTTCGCGGCGGCCTCCGGTCGGGGTGTCCCGTTGCCTCCGACGTCGTGGAGAAAGGGTTTATTCCCGGTACATGACCTTGCCTTTCCCGAGGCTGGTCCTACCGCGGAGGCCCATGTTGAGCGGTTGGGTGTCCGTGCCCCACCGGCTGCTACGGTAACGCAAGCTACCTTGCACCAGCTGGACGCCCTCGCTCGGCACTCCATGTCTCACGGAGACACTTACTTGGCTGCAGCGGCCAGTCTGGTCGAAGGTTCTCCCACGGACCGTGACCAGCGCATTTACAACTGCCTGCTCAGTTGAAATGCTTCCCTGGAGTACGTTGCCGAGGACTCTTGGCACACACTTGCTCTTGTTGGGTCCCTGCATAGGCGCCTGGGTGCCGCTCCTAACCGGAGCGCGCCCCAGGCTGCTGCGGCCGGTAGGTCTAAGGGGTCGGGTTCTTCTTCCTCTGGGAAGTAGCCCCGCCCTGAGGGCTCTGGTATGGGCAATCAGCTGCCCTTTCGCGGGAAGACGGGGAACTGGGGGAAGCCCAAGTCGTCTAAGGACAGCAAGGGCCCCTCCAGGTGACTCTCATTGGAGGGGTTCGTATGCCGACAGCGCCAACTTCGGTTGGCCCTTAGGTGAACCCGAGTCACTTGGCCCTGGTCAGTTGCGCCTGCTGCAGCCTGTCAGGGCCCCCTCTCCTTCCCCAGTAGGAGCCAGACTCCAGACTTACTGGGAGAATTGGGAACAAGTGTTCGACGACCCGTGGGTGGTCAACACGATTCGGTACGGCTATCGGCTTGATCTCAAAGCGAATCCGCCGTTGCCCCGTTGGCAGGTTTCGATTCGGAAACCGATCTTCCCATCCTCACCGATGCCATCGGCAGGTTGGTGGAGAAGGGGCAGTACGGGAGTTAGCTCTACCAGAAATAACACCGGGGTTTTACTCCAGGATATTTCTCGTTCCCAAGTTGGACAGTGCCGAACTCAGAATGATTCACACGTCCGCTCCCTGGCTGTTCACCCGGTTAACCACCCCCATAGTGGGGTTCCTCCACAGGAGGGGTGTCCGGTACTTCGCGTACCTGGACGACTCGCTAATAGCAAATCGAATGACGGACACCCTGTCACGCCATCTCGTTTTCGCACGTCGGCTTTTGGAGCAATTGGGGTGGATTATCAATCTCCCCAAGAGCGAGTTAACCCCTTCTCAGAACTTGCTGTTCATCGGAGGTCGGTTCAACACGGTGTCCCATCGCCTCTTTGTCCCCCCAGACCGGTGGCACAAGATTCAGGCGATGATTGCCAAAGTCTTAGCGGTGCAACAGACTGTTCACTTTTGGGAACAGCTGTTAGGGCTACTTGTATCAGCCCAGGACTGCACCGAACGGGGTCGTCTCCAACTCCGCCCGCTGCAACGGTTTTTAATCCAGTTGTTAGCAACGGAGGTGAACAGTGCGACCGTCACCCTCCCGGATCGGCTTCGACCGCATCTGGAGTGGTGGACGGTCCCTTACAATGTCTTATCAGGAGTCTCTATGCGGCCCTACCGGGCCACGTTGACCCTGTATACAGACGCCTCTCTAGTGGGCTGGTGCGCCCATCTAGAGGGGGAGGTGAGCTCGGGGCTGTGGTGCGTAGACGAACTAGGTCTTCACATCAATTGTCTCTAGTTCAAGGCAGTGATCAACGCAGTCAATCACTGGAAGCATCGTCTTGTCGACGCCCGGCTCATGCTGGCGACCGACAACACGACGGTAGTGTCCTATGTGAACAAACTGGGGGGAACCCACAGTCACTCGCTACTCGATCTCACGTTCGAGTTTTACGCTCTGGTGGACAGTGTCCCGTGCCAGATACGCGCCCGTCACATCCCAGGTGTGCGGAACGTACTGGCCGATGCTCTATTGAGGCCTCAGGTTCCGAGCCCCACAGAGTGGATGCTGAACCCAGTAGTGTTTCAGTGGCTGTGCGAACGTTTGGGTTGTCCGATGGTCGACCTGTTTGCAACGCGGTTCAACAATCAACTCCCGTTGTTTGTATCACCAGTCGCGGACCCGAGGGCCATCGATCACGATGCTCTCGCGTTAGACTGGACAGGCTTGGACGCTTATGCTTAC